TTTTTTTTGTTTTTGTTTTTGTTTTTGTTTTTTTAAGATTTTATTTATTTATTTGACAGAGATCACAAGTAGGCAGAGAGGCAGGCAGAGAGAGAGAGAGAGAGAGAGAGAGAGGAGGAAGCAGGCTCCCTGCTGAGCAGAGAGCCCGATGTGGGGCTCGATCCCAGGACTCTGGGATCATGACCTGAGCTGAAGGCAGAGGCTTTAACCCACTGAGCCACCCAGGTGCCCCTTGAGTTAATATCTGAAAGGTACTTAGTACAGTGTCTGGCAGATGATAAGTGCTATGTAAATCCCTTGGTTTGTTATTGTTGTATCATCTTTATACAGGATCATTTTATATCAATGAGGCACCTTTAGAAGTATTGTTGAAGGTTTTCTTTTTTTTCTTTTTTGGGGGTAGTTTGGCATGTTTCTCTAATTTCTTTCTCTCTTTAGTTTTGGAGACACTGCTATCTGAGAAATAGACAAATATAAAATATCCGTTCAGGAAAGGATGTATTTAAATACAGGAGCTTATATTATCATCTAGGAAGCTTTTTAGGCTCTAATGCCAACACTTAATCATTCAGCTGTTCATACTGTCCCTGGACACTGGGGACACAGAAGAGTTCTTGTCTCAGTATCTGGTAAGATTGTCCAAATCTAATAGTTAAGTTAGGGGAGGGAATATGGCCAGTTAAATCCTACCACCATCAATACCTCCCCCAAAAAAGTGATTCCAAGTTGAAAATTGTTTGTAGGAAGTGATATTGGTAAATTTTATGGGTAAATTGTTAGGAATACCACTTGGCTTTAAGTGATAAAAGAATGACTTCATTTTGGGGGGGGGGTTGGTTCTCTTGTTCTTTTTTCATTTAGCAACATTTTCTGAGCTCTTTTTTTATACCAAATACTTTATCAGAAGTTAGAGCTATAGAGGTGCCTGGGTGGCTCAGTGGGTTAAAGCCTCTGCCTTCTGCTCAGGTCATGATCCCAGGGTCCTGGGATCGAGCCCCTAATCACATCGGGCTCTCTGCTCAGCAGGGAGCCTGCTTCCTCCTCTCTCTCTGCCTTCCTCTCTGCCTACTTGTGATATCTGTCAAGTAAATAATAAAAAAAAAAATCTTAAAAAAGAGCTATAAAGTTGAGAAAAGCAGATAAGACTTCTGCCCTCACAGGGCTTTTATTCCAATAGGATGAGACAAACAATAAACATTTTTTTTTCTAAAGATTTTATTTATTCATTTGACAGAGAGAGATCACAAGTAGGCAGAGAGGCAGGCAGAGAGAGGGAAACAGGCTCCCCGCTGAGCAGAGAGCCCGATGCAGGACTTGATCCCAGGATCCTGGGATCATGACCCGAGCCGAAGGCAGCAGCCTAACCCACTGAGCCACCCAGGCACCCACAAACAATAAACATTTTAATAAATGACTTAGTTCTATGCAGTGCATTGTTGAGTTAAATCAAGAAGGAGGTATGATGGAGAACACAGGAAATGCTGGTGGGGACCACCTGAAATAGGAGAGTCTGAAGAAAGCCCACCTTAAGCCTGAAACTTAAACAGAGTAAGAATGGACCGATCATTTGATAATCTGCAGAAAGGACATTTCAGGCTGTGGGTAGAATAAGAGCAGAGGACCTTGAAGGTAGATGGTCTTGAAGTGTACCAGCAGAGGTCCTGGAAGGTGAGCAGGCCTCAGAACCACCCAGAGGGCTTATCACGACTCCGATTCCTGAGACCTGTCCCGGGCCAGTAGGTCTGGGCAGAGCCTGAAAAGGCACCTTTGTCCTGAGCTCCCAGGTGCTGCTGTTGCTATGGGATGAAAGGATGGCTGCAGCGCTGTGAGCTGGGGGCCACGAGTGGGACATGCAGCTGGAAGAGGAGGCAGAGCCCCGAGGATCTCAGCCTCAATAACAAGTGCGAGTTTAGTGTCAGATCTCCGAGGAGCCGTTGCAGGTTCAAGCCCCGCCTTGCCACAGCCGCTCTTGTTCTGAGGTGATTACAATGTAGACGATCTTTGGTCTTTTATTTTTTTTTTTTTTTCAGATTTTATTTATTTATTTGACAGACAGAGATCACAAGTAGGCAGAGAGACAGGCAGAGAGAGAGGTGGAGGCAGGCTCCCTGCTGAGCAGAGAGCCCGATATGGGGCTCGATCCCAGGACCCTGAGATTATGACTGGAGCCAAAGGCAGAGGCTCAACCCACTGAGCCACCCAGGTGCCCCGACGGTCTTTGGTCTTTGAGGACTATCTGATTCTGCATGGCACTTGCCCCCATAATGCATGTGCAACAAATTCTCCGCTTTGGGAAGCAGAGTCACCTATGCTCAGGTTTCGACAGTAGGAGACGTAGGCAGATAGATGGGGGCTCAGGTAGCTCAACACTGACTGGAACACATTCCTTGTATGTGGCACAGAACATTGAACCCAGCAAGGACATAATCAAAGCATATTTGTGATTTCTAGCAGCAGGCAGCATTCTGTCTTTTGAGGACAATACTGAAAAAATACGAAACAATTAGAGGCTTCTAATAAGCAGAGGACATCACCATGTGTAATAAAGTGTTCAACTGAATATTACCCTATGTAAATGTTAATGATGCAGATAATAAATGTCATGGCCACTAAGAAGTGGGAGAATTGTTCGAAGTTACTAGGGAACACTTTATACAGGGGAGGCCTTCGAGCTGGTCCTTAGAAAATGGTGAGCATTTGCCAAGTTAAAGGGGAAGGGAAAAGCATAGAAAAGTCTTGGTCTCAGATTCAATTAACATTCAAGGGATTATTGTGTTTTCCCCAAGTTTTTGCCAGTTCTACTGCCTTTCAAGGGAAAGTCTTACATGTGTTTCTGGTTCCTGAGTACAATTGAATTACTAGTCCATTGTCTGCTAAGAGCTGTTTGGTCAGGGAGCCCTGGGGACTTCTCAGAAACTTTTATCCTTTGAAAGAAGCTGTCCTGATTTGCCATTGTTAATGAAACTTGTACTACACAATGCTCAAGTTTAAGACCCACTGAGAACATGACCATGAACCTCCTTTCATCTCCACATGGGGGAACCACTTGGCGGATAGGAGCTGCAGAGACCCAGCAGCATTGCTGCTCCCCCAGTGCTAGTAATTGTCTTGAACTTTCTTATGTCATATCCTAATAGCTTTGTATTAGGAGTGACGGTCTGTATTGCTTCTACCCCTCATGAATAAATACAGAATGTCTTGCCACCCAGAAGACAAACCCTTTGTAGTCGTGTGTCTCTTTTGAACATGCATCCCTAGGACTCTGCATGCATGCATTTCAATATTCCGTGCCCGCGTGAGGCTTTGCTTTGGAAACGGTGAAATACGCGCTTAGTGCGGTGGGTATATTTTTACTCTGTCAAGTGCTTTTTTGCATCAGATCTTGAGTAATATATTTGATGAGTCAAAGGGCTCACCTCCTTTGCTGAGGCTCTCTTGGGAGTCATCTTGAATATTAAGATAGTTCTTATTAGCTCAGATAATTCCAAAGGTGCGGGTTTATCTTTAATCCCAAGGTTAAGGCAGAAGACAGAAATGAAAAAGAGCAAATGGTAAAAGAGAGTCCCCAGGCTGACCTAAAGAGAGATTTTCATGACAACCTGTAAAGTAGAGATCACCAAACTTTTTCAGTTGCTTTCTCATATCCAGAAAAGATTTTGAGGGTGCCTGGGTGGCTCAGTGGGTTAAGCCTTTGCCTTCAGCTCAGGTTATGGTCTCAGGGTCCTGGGATCGAGGCCCGCATCGGATTGTCTGCCCAGCAGGGAGCCTGCTTCCCCCTCTCTCTCTGCCTGCCTCTGTGCCTGCTTGTGATCTCTCTCTCTCTCTCTCTCTGCCAAATAAAGAAATAAAATCTTAAAAAAAAAAAAAGATTTTGAGAATGCCCCCACATAAGTGTAATTATTTCTACATTAGATACTTGTACCACTGTACTTATATATTGTTGACTTATGAAAGACACATGAAAATAGAAATAATAAAGAAAAAAATTAAAAGAATGCAATTTCTAATATTCCTATCCCTCAAATAATTCTCTTTTGCATCCTCTGGCATATGGACTCTGCTTTTCAATACACCCTTCTGTAAACCAATAGCAACAGCACAGTATAATATACTGGTTCTCAAACTCTAGACTGCGTCACAATTTCCTGGAAGCCTGTGAAAACACACATTTTTACCTCTTTCTGAAGTTTCTGATTCAATAGGTCTGGGGCCCTATCTTTTGCCTTTCTAACCACTTCCCAGGTGATGTTGGTCTGAGAAATAACACTTTAAGAACTACTGATGTAGCTAAGAGCATGGTTCCCAGAGATGGTTTACCTAAGTTGGATATCATGGTCCTTTCATTACTGAATGTGTGACCTTGGGTAGATTACTTATATAAGTTTAGTTTTTTTATTTTTCTTTTTCTTTTGATCTGTGAAATGGGTGATCATAATTACTTACTTCTTAGTGTCACTGGAGAGCATAATGAGGTAATGTAGACAAAGTGCTTAGTACCCAGTACTTACCACCTACAAAATACCAATATATGTTGGCTGCTATATGCTTCTCTTTCTCCTCCTCTTCATGTCATCAAACATCTTTTTAATGTCATAAAGTAAACTTTAGGGACTTTTATTCCTTAATTCATAAGAATCATGGGAATAAATTTTTTTGCTTTACCATTATATGTCTAGAAAGACCATATTCCAAATGAGGTGTCTTTCTAGTTGGGTGGTAGAGATGAAGCTCTTTTGAAAAGTCTGCCTAAGAGAACAATGTGTTCAGCCCTCTCCCTTCTGTGTGTAACTGTTGATAGTCTGTGGCTAAGTGTGTATCTCTGTAGTCTTTTGTATATCCTGATTCTTGTTGCATGATCTAGAGATGACATTTTGGGTGGTTGTGGTTTTGAATGTTTTGGGGCATGGGAGTCGCAAAGTCAAGTGCTTGCTTTGAACTTCATTGTGAACACTTGTCTCTCTCCTTTTTTCTTCTCTCCCCCTCTTCGTATGGATTATTAGGACCAAGTACCACCTGCCAGGAAGATTCATGTGCCAACCAGGGGGTCTGCATGCAGCAGTGGGAAGGCTTCACCTGCGACTGCTCAATGACGTCATATTCCGGAAACCAGTGCAATGATCGTGAGTGCAACCTTTTCATACTTGGGAGTTTTTTCACTGTTTTGAGGTTTGGAGAAAACTTAAGGAACATAATGTAAAAGGATGGTTCTTCTGAAAGAATTGTAAGCAATTTCCTCTTCCAGAAACTTGGTAAATATAGCACTGATGCTCTTAATGGAAGAGCAAAGAGATATTACTTGTTCAACATTACTACATGTTTTCCCATTTGCTTACTACATGTGTTTTTTCTTTAGATTAGATTGCCTGTGGCTGAGAAGCAAAAAACAAAAACAAAAACAAAAACAATCCCCCCACAGCAACAACAAAAACAAAACAAAATCCAGCTCAAGCAATATTTTTGCTCTAAGGAGTTCAGTTTTTCCATAATTAAGTCATCTGGATAACAGTTTTGAGACTCTTCCATTTGTATTGTCTAGAATTTAGAGGTCATTAAGAAATCTAGGTGTTTTCTCAAAATTTTGAATTTAGAGGATTTCTTAGCTCTTCCAAATGATGAAGACATTCAGAGTTTATTATTTTTTCTAACTAGAAATGTATGTATGTATGTATCTGCATATTCAGTTCATATTGGAAGAGAGCCAGTTGTTAATTTTGTCCTCTGGCAATGCTTCTATCAGCTGATTTAATTCTAGAAGACTGATTTCATGAAGATGATTCTAGAGTTGATGGTGGAGATACTTCAGTTCTGTGGGAATCTAGAACCTGTGTCTCCACTGCCTTCTTATGTTACTTTCCTAACATGGCTATTTTTAAAGAATAAGCCAACACCTGAATTTTCTGAATACCTATTCAAAGAGATTTGTTGAAAGCCCTGACATAGTGGGTCCTGCTGATCTTCTGACTTTCTAAATGCTAGGAGTTTATATTGCAATCTGAACTTGTAGCCCGTTGACCTCTTGGTTTTATAAAAAGGTGCGTGGTGTTATCTGAGCAGATACTAAAGTCACAGTATGGTTGCCTAAGTGGGAGTAGGTACCATCTCTATCATGTTCACTTGGTTTTTCTTGAATCCTTATTTCTCAACTTTTTTTTTTTTTCGTGTGCATAGTTGCCCCATGTTCTGTTTCTCATTTTTTCTCATAGCTTTTTGTCTTTATATGCTCTGTCAGTCTCTTAAGATCTACCTGGAGAAACAGGTGGGAACTGTACCAATGTAGAGATAAACATCTTTGCTTCTCATTGATCTAATGTAAACAAGTGCCTCTAGTTCTGTAACATAAAGGACACAGTATCTGCAGAATGTTTTGGTATCAAGATTATTCTTTCCAAGTACTTGGTATTATTGAAAGTCTTATTCCCACACTTATGAGTCAGAAATGCTGTTGTTCCACTTCAAAATAGGCAGTTATGGACCCATCCAGGATATCTGGGCAGTTGTGCTACATGTTCTTTATTTGCCCTCCACTTTGTGTGCATAGGACTCATTGGAATGCTTTTTATCCTAAATGGTGGCATAATGCTTCTTTATCCTCCCAAGTTTATTCCATATCATAAATATATACCACTCCTGGTAGAAAATGGTCAGGATGAGACTGCCCACAGAAAATGCAGAAAGGTAAGTGATTCTAACTGCGGTGGATAGCATGGTCTTCAGAAGGTACGTATACACTTTTCTCTCATTGATATGTTCCTTTTGGCCACCCAGGTCCAGGCACTATTTTCTGCTAAAAATAAACCAGGATTCTTCCTGGATTTCTATGATTTTTTTTTTTTCTGACTTTGTCAAGAGCAGATGGCATCTCAGTCCAGAATGAAGACGGTTACAGTATCTGACTTGAACAATTTGTCAGTATATAATGAGGTACTAGAGCGGATTGGGAAATGTCAGTTTTGTGACAATACTACGTCATCCTTCAAAGATGCTTCTGAGATATCCAGGCCTAGGTATTATATTCTGGATTTTATTCTGTAAACCATACTGATAAAGGTTTTATTGTAGAAGACCTTGAGCCCAAGTTGTTAAAAGAATCTTCTTGCCTCATCTCTGGTTGGAGAGCAGGCCAGGGCTGGTATGACTAGACGGCGATACGGAAGTGTGAGCAAGTACATTTTAATTGCAGAATGTAAGGAAAAAATAGAGTTTAGATAAATTGGATATAACTGTCATGTGTAGATATGCACTTTTAATGAAACCGACCACATATATCAGAAATTTAGGTTGCTTAGAATTGTACAATAGTTGTCCCTGTATCCCATGATTGACGTTGAAAGTATCGGGAGACTTTTCTTTTGGTATAGGTGCTGCCTAAGCAAACACGGGACTTTTCTTTTGGAATTAGCATCAGAGGCAGTTTGTTCAACCTAAAAAATCAGCCTTACCTGTTTACATCATAGATCATTACTTTCTGTATGAACCGTGACCTTTAGCGTTGTAATTTGCTACTTTATCTCACAAATGTCTTCAAAATTGAGTTCGCTATTTGATTTTCTCCGGGCCTCTGTTAGCAAATTCTTGGTAGTTTTGCTTGCATCAGGAAAAGAGTCTTCACCTTTGGAGTCACCAAGATTTGAATAAAGCTCATGCTTATCATTGGGAAAGGCTGTGGGGAAAAGTGCAAAGGAAGGGGAACAGATACAATGAGTGAATGGAAGAGGAAAGATGAGCAGGGCTGAGTCTTATATGGAAGAACACTGAGGCCATTAGTGATTGCTTTGGTAGCATGCGTGCCGCAGGTGGCCTGCCTTTGACCTAAATAACAGAAATGGAGCATGATGTGATGATTGGAGTGTCAAGGAAATATGGCCTTTACCTGATTTTTAGGAATAGTGTATTCTACAGAAAGTCACATATATCTAAAATACATCGTATTTCTGACAATGCTGTCATAGGATCCTATGGTTGATTTAAGAGTCTATCTAGTGGCAACAGACTTTTTTGGTGGATGGTTGGGGGAGAAGGTTTGGATCTCTCATTTTCCATGAGGTATTTCTCAGGACAGCCCATTGATCTCAGTTAATGGAAATAAAAAACAAAACAAAATAAAACAAACAAACAAAAAAAACCAATTTCTTAAGGCACGTCCAAGAATAGAAACTAGTTCAATAGGAAAGTGCTAGGTTTTGATATTTTTCAAAATAAAGGGTTCTGTTCAGTTCATCATGTATAGAAAAGTTACTTGTATCTGGGCATGATTTGTAAGTTTCTAAAGAAATGTTTGCATTTTAGCATTCTCCACATCTTTCCTAGTATTGGTTCCTTCATTCATGACCTTTGATATTTCTTGCCTGTTTGCCATTGGGTGTTTGCTTGATGATTTTCAGGTGCTGTCACATAGTTGTCACCTCCATGAGTAGAGCTTATGTTTAGAAACTATATCTCATTTAGTACGAGTAGACCAAGCATGGATGGGTTTAACTTTATTCCATCATTTTCTCTGAGAGCATGGTGGATTGCTAGAGGCAGTGGATGAATTTCAGGTTTCATTTTAGAGAGAGCCATGCAAAGCTGACACAGTGATTGTGAAGGTGTGGCATGTCTTCTCCGTGGCTGGTTACCTTGTGTAAGAGTGACTCTCTTATACTGGATAGAAACCAAAAGTGATCTGATTGGAAACCCAGGTATAACTGATTTATTATTTGTCTTATGTAGTTTTAAGATAAGATCTTCTACCATTTCAACTAAGAGCAGATTCACAGGGAGTTTCCTCTGGGTGACTTTTAAGGCTGTTCTGAAACCATAATGAACAAAATCATCCCAGAAGTAATTTTGGGTTCATGTAGGATCCCGTGAGATCTAGGAGAGGACACACCAGTAATGTTCTCCAAAGAAAATCTTCAGTTCTTCTGAAAAACTCAAACCAGAGAGGGCTGACTTCTCAGAAGGTGCATACCACCTGAGTTCCAACTTAATGATGGGGCTACATTTTAAGAACAACAGAAGACATGGAACTCCACACAGTTTCTCGTAGGGATATTCTTTTTGGATATTGGGTTCCTACTGGTATTTAAAATCAGGGCCAAGGGCCTGGGAGATTTCAGTGGGTCGCAGCCATCACAACATAGCAAATCCAGTTCCCTTTCCTATGATGTGGGCAGGGCGACCTGTTGTTGAGTCCCTCTCTCCACACCACCACACAATGTTGCACAAAATCCAATGCCACTTGCACATACCCACACCTATACAAAAGCTTTGTCATTCCTGGGGGCTTTGTGAAAACAGAAATTTTAAATACCTTACACCAGTCCTTACCACCACAGCTCTCCCTGAGCATGCGTATGACAACGGTAGTGAGTCCTGTACAACGTTGAGGTCTCATTATTGCTCCTGGGCCCTGGAGAAGTGAATGTGAAACAGTGTATTTCGTGTGAGTGCTTAAAACACAGCAAGTTGCTGGATTTAGGAATTGGGTGTTTATAAAGGCTTTGTGGGAAAAACAGAAGGAAATAAATGTGGGTCCTCAGCACACCCTCTGCAGCCAGCGACCTACGCTACATGGCTGGTCCTACATTGTGGGCTACTTGTTGGAGAAATTGCTAGGTTCACACTGGCACGTTATAATAGGTGTTCTTTGCTTGCAACAAATCAATAGCAAGCAGCTGTGCGTCGTGCAGACAGTGGAGTGTGAGCGCCTTTTCAGACAGTTTTCTGCTGGAGTGGCTGTTAAGCTGCACTGTTGGCTATTGATTGGCCTTTTGCTTTTTTTTTTTCCTTGTTGTGTGGGTTTATTTATTTTTTTAATGTAGGTTGGTGTATTGATTAAAGTTGTTAAAAACACATTTCCCATTCAGGCTTCAGAAAAAATGAGCAATATATGCATTCCTTAGTGTACAAACAAGGAAATAGACATGCGTATGTTCTTTCTGTCTCCTGGATCCATACAGATACACGGGCATTACGTTACGAGTCTGTGTTGTTATTTGTACAGCAATAATTTCCAGAGATATCAGACTACGGTGTCTTCATGTTTTCAGTTACGTGTTTAACTCCTACCTCTGTTTCCAGGTTCTGCCCGTCCTACAAATAAGCCATATCTGAGAAGTTTAGTTTTAAATTATTTGTT